CGTGAGCCACTGTGCCGGCCCCTTCAAACATTTTTAAGCCCTGAAACTGTTCTGTTCAAACACAATGTTACAAGGAACCCCAATACATAAAGCAGCTGCAAGCTGCTCTGATTGACATTGCCTGCGAGCCCCCTGAAGCCTGCCCACTATGGCCTCCTCCCCTCATCCGGGGTCCCCAAGGGCTTCGGAAAACCCACTGAAGAGCGCCGAGATCCTCCTCATTGAGCACAGAAGGAGAGGAGGGTGACAGAGGGAGGGGACGGGGTGCAGCCTGTGTGCTGTTGGTGGCAGCAGATGCCACCTCCCTCTCCAGTCTCCATGGGGGCAGGGGATGTTGGCCCTTCCTGTCACATACTGGAGCTCTGCAGACCTCCTCCCCTGGGGAAAGACTCCTGTTACGAAGTCACTCGATCCCTGCTTGCTTTCCAGATGCCCGGGAAACAGTTAAAGGGAAACCCAATAGCCTGAGTGGCCAGCCTGTGCCCTAGATGGCCATGCAGCTTAGGGAGGTGGCCTACGAAGCCTCCCCACTTCTGAGCAGCATGCACCCATGCCAGCCAGACCCCAAGGGCCAGCCCACAGCCTGAGAAGAGGAAGCAGCAGGACCAGGGCTCAGGGTAGGCTGGGCAAGGGGGCGGGGCCCCAAGAGGGGAGGTGTCAGGCTAGGTGTGCCCACTTAGCATATCATTAACAGCTTCATTAGGGGGCTCCCTAATGAAGTGGAAGGTGCTAATTCTTCACTGAGGCATTGCCAGCACCCAGACGGAGTCTCCTCTGGAGGAAGCTCTGAGAAGCCAGAGCACCGGGATTCTTGCTGGGAGCTGATGAACTGCCTGGCAGGGAGGCCATCTGGGGAGTGAACTTCCAGCAAGTGGCTCCTAGGAGAGGGGGTGACTAGAGGGAGGAGCAGAGGGTGGGGTCGGTGGAAAGCTGGAAAGGCAGATGGGCTTAAAAGCGGGAGTGGGGGGGTCTCTACCTGTCAGGGCATCCTGCGTTTGAGCTGGGAAGAGGCCTGCAATGAGACACCCGGAAGCTCAGACATGCAAGCAGATAGATGGTAGGGCATCCCGGCAGGATCTCAGGCTTTGGAGTGTTCTAGAGTCTTGGGACCTTGGGTGAGAGCTCTGTGGTTCAAGCTGTCCTGGGTGTTGAGTCCCCTCTCCCTGGGTGGTTGTGGGTTAAAGGAGGCTGGGCTCCTAGGAGATGCAGCCCTGCCTGCTCTCGAAGGCAGGTCAGAGGATTCCGCAGATTGGAAGGGTGAGGGCAGGTGCGGTCAGCCTGGTCACCTGTCTGTTTGGGAGGGCTGACTTAGATCACAGAGAGTTACTGCCCCTGCCTCGCAAGGTGAGGGAAAGGTTCTCCGCACACTGGGGAGAGATGATTACTAAATCGCAATGATGGCGGCTCCTGTCTTCTAAGAGCTGAGCGCTTTGTGTGCATTCTTTCATTAACTCCTCATGACTCACTCCCTATGAAGTGAGTACCTTCATTATTCCATTTTACAGATGAGGAGATTGACGCTCAGAGAAGTGACAGTCATAGACAAGTAGAAGTGATGGAACTAAGATACAAATTCAGGGCTGTCTCGCTGCAGGGCCGGAAGGCAGGCCTGGGTCAGCTCACGGGATGGCCACCCCCGTCCACGTCGACACCCTTGAGATAGCCCCGTGAGGGGAGTGAGAAGACCACAGGGGCGGGTAGGGAGGACGCAGACCGCAGACGCCCTTCCCCACAGACAGGCAGGAGAAACCGGCCTGGTGCCACCCAGTGTGGGGCGTGTCAGCCTGTGTGCGAGGGCTTGGAGATCCAGGCCGCCTGGCCACACCCATCACAGAGGCCCGCAGAGCCCGCCTGTCTGGGCCTCTCCAGAGGGGACGTGGACGTGTGGGACCATCGGCTTGTTCCGAGTTTCAGAAAAATGAATAGTCTCCAAGGAAGAGTCCAGAAGCCAGACCTGGCCTGGCCAGAGCCTGGAGACTCCTTCCACTGTTGGAAAATGTCCATCGGAGCCCAGGACTGAGTGGGCCCTGGTGTGAACCCCCCACCGGAAAGGAGAGGTCAGAGGGAGGCTGGGGGCAGGAGGAGGGCCCAGCCTGGCTGCCAAAAAACGGTCCTGCTGCCCTCCTGGCCCTCGCTTCCCGCTCCCTAGCAGCCAGCCACCCTTCCAGAACAACCAGCAGGAAACGAAAGGCCCCAGTTGATTCCCAGGGAGTTGGCTGGTGTCGTAGCAGGGCTGATGGCAGATGGCAAATTCTGCTCATTGCAGACGAGTAGAAAATAATTAGCGTGAGAATGAGTAGCTGGAGCCTGGTAATAAATGGGGCCCTGGTGAAGGCTTCGGGGGTGAGGCTTGGAGCACAGGCTCCAGAGCCTCAGGCCTGGCTCTGCCACTGAGGAGCTGAGTGGTCTTGGGCAAATTACTTAGCCCCTTTGGGCCTCCGTTTCTTCATCCATAACACAGGGCATAAGAGGTTGTTAAAAGGATTACATTACAGGATGTAATCTTTGTGAACTGCTTGTTAAAGTAGCCGGCATGTAGCGAATGCTATATAAGAGTTTGTTTTTAAATAAACATACGATTAAATAATTGTTGGAACTATTTGTGGGTCCAGCCCAGGCCAGCATTGCCCCCAAGTCGTTAGGGTTTCTCTTTTCGTTCTCCTCCCTGAACTCTGCCCAGCTGCCTGACTGCTGTTTTGTAGGGAGGGGTCTCTGGCCAAGAAGAATGAGGAGGGTACAGAAAGAACACAGCAGATAGACCTGGCTTCAGAGTTTGACTCAGCCACTCACTCACTAGGTTCTTTAAACTCTTGGAGCCTCAGTTTCCCCATCCATGACATGCAAACAGCTCGACCCACCCCTGGGGTCGCGGCGAGGATGGTTATGTGACTGGCACGTGGCGAGGGATGGAGGAGCCGCCTCCCCTGGCCCTTCCAGGCTGTCCTCGGGTAGAGTGGGAAAGGTGTTTGTTAGTACAAGACCCTGGGCGGCGGGTAGGAGGAGACAAATGTCAGAGGCCTCCCACTCCTGCCCCCGGCTGCACCAGGTACACTTTTCATCCCTGGGCCTGGGCATGTGAGGACCTATCTCATACTGAAATCCGGCCCCAGCCCTGGGCAGGCTCCACTCTGCCTTCTGCTCCAGCACAGCTGACGTGTGAAAAGCGACAGCTTTCAGGCCCCTCACTTGGGTTGCACACACCCGGGTACAGGCTGGTGGCGCATGCGGCCCCCAGCCCACACGTGCTTGCTCTCCGTCGTCTCCCTTGTCACCTTCCCCCTCCTGAGCTTTCGGAGGCCAGCCACTCGGCCACTGGGAAGAAGGGGATGGTTCTGCAGCCCCCAGATCCCTGGGTGGGATGTGTGGGTCTTTCTGACTCTATGTTTGTGAGGATAAGGAGTCAGACTGACATGCAGAGAGGGTTTTTTTCTTGCAAGTAATTCAAGGAGGCTGCTTGAAATCCCAGCTCTGCGACATCCTCATGGAGCGATCTTTGGGCAAACCATTTTGCCTCTTGGAGCCTCGGTTTCTTCATCTGTAAAGCTGGGGTAATACCCCCGCGGCCTGATGAGGCTGGAGTTGGATGGCACATAGTGTTTCTCGTGCTGTGCTCTCCCGACTCCGCAGCCTGCTTAGTGGAATTCCCCTGGACTCAGTTTTCCTCATCTGCAGAATGGGTCCCATGCTCTCCCATATGATTGTGAGTCTGAAGCCAGATGAAGACCCAGAAGTATTCTCAGTCTGTAAGAAGAGGTTTAGAGCCAGCTTTTGAGTTCAGAAACAGGTGTTTAGCTGAGTCGGGCTTCTCAGAAGCAGCACACAAAGGTTAAGACCTGGGTTCTGGACCTAGGCTGTGTGGCTATGGGCTAGTCACTTCAGCTTATCTGTCAAACAAGGGAAAAGGTAGTACCTACCTCACAGAGCTATTATGAGGACTAGATGAGTTCGTGTTTATAAAGGGCAGAGCCGTGCTCCAAGACCTTGTAAGCAATTCATAAATGTTAGGAGAACCGAAGCAGCCCAGTCCCCGACTTACAGGTGGGCTGAGCTCATTCCGTCCCCATCATCACCTAGGACCCTGGAGCCACCTTGCAGTTTTGTAAAACGGTTCCAGTTATTAGGTGTTGATCCCCTCCCTCTGCTGTCCTCTGTCAGCCTGGTGAGCCGGCGCAGAGCGGTTAACTCGCTACCACAGCTGCAGAGCCAACAGCTGGAATCTCACCACCACCAACGCCTTTGCTAAAGAGAGCAGGACCTGTCTGCCACCCTAGTGAGGGCAGACAGTGACCTGCTGCTGAGCCTGCCCTAGCTTGGGTAGAGCCACTGAACACAGCGCCTCTGCTAGGGGGATGCCACCAGTGCCTGGCAGGCTACCAGGGGCCCAGCCTCACAGTGCTAAGTTCCCCAGATCAGATGTCCACCCTAATGCCAGAAAAGCTCCAGCACCCAACACAGGTGCACTCAGAATCAGATGGACCACGAGGGCCTACCAGGCAGCAGGCATGAGTTTCTCTGACTACTTTGGAGCACCTTCCAGTTTCAAATCCCTTTCACACGGGAATCCCATTCATCATGGAAATGGGAGTCCTGGGCTCTCTCTTCATGATACCAAGAGTCAGAAAACCCTGCAGAGCTGAAAAGAGCCCTTACAAACTTGCCTGTTTCCCCATTTACTTTGGCCACCAAGAAGTGTGGTATCCAGTGATAGTTTTATTTTTTTTATTGTTATTTTTTTTGAGACAAGTCTTGCTCTGTCGCCCAGGCTGGAGTGCAATGGCACACTCTTGGCTCACAGCAACCTCCGCCTCCCAGGTTCAAGTGATTTTCCTGCCTCAGCCTCCCGAGTAGCTGGGATTACAGGCGTGCAGCACCACACCTGGCTAATTTTTGTGTTTTTAGTAAAGACGGGGTTTCACCATGTTGATCAGGCTGGTCTCAAACTCCTGACCTCGTGATCTGCCCACCTCAGCCTCCCAAAGTGCTGGGATTACAGACCTGAGCCACTACGCCTGGCTGGTGATAGTTTTACTTACAGCAGCCGTGAGTGCCCTCATGTCTCACACGTGTGCAACGGATTCATCCTCCCGGGCCCTCTGTTTTGATTTACTGGGGCCTAGAGGGGTCGGGACTTTCTTTCCTGGGGACGCTGCTCTTGGTCCAGCACTAGGCAGCTCTAGGGTGTGGCTGGACCTGGTCCCCATCACCAGCCCCAGCAGGCAGGAGTAAAATGGGGGCCCAGGGAAGGTGGCTTTCTGGGTCTGAGAGTCTCCCCTCTGTTAACCACAGCTGCTGCAGGCAAGAGAGCCAGCCCCAGGTGACTGAAGTAGACACATGGTTGATGCCTCCCTGCAGATTTATCTCCAGCGAGGGAGCTCCTGCGATTTTGCTGGCTTCTAGGAGGGTTGGGCATCTCCAAGAGCATCAAAGACAGGATCTCAGCCAGGCTCCCTGGGGCGACATGCTGTTAATGCTGATGTCACTGGGGAGTTTGAGTGGGGTATGGAGTGGGGTAGAAGGGAGTGGGCTGGCTTGGGGGCTCAGGCTGTGTGTCCAGCCCCTGACGGTGACGCTGCAGTGATGGACGTTGTGGGAAGAGCTAGGGCCTCTGTGTTCTTTCTGAACCTCACCCATAAAAGGGGACAGTGGGACTGTCCTGAGACCCCTTTTAACTCTGACCTTTGTTAGGTGTGGGCTTTGGATGGCAGTAGGAATGACCTGCGCCTCGGGCCTGCCCGGCCTCTGGATCCCTGAGTGGTGTCAGGCAGTCTCTGCATCTGTCTCCGAATTCTTCAGTAGAAATAATAATAGCAGCGTCTGCTGAGCACTTACCAGATGACAGGCGCTGTTTGAAGTGTTGACTGATCTAACCCTCCTGATCATTTGGAGGTAGGTAATCCTCTTATCCCTGGTTTAGAGATGAGGAGACTGAAGCACAGAGAGGTGAAGTAACTTGTCCAAGTCTTGTGAGAGCCAAGACTCAGATATAGCCTGCTTTTAAGAGTGTCGGCTCTTAATCACCCCTCACGCACTCTGTGGAACAAGAGCGACACTGCCACCTGCATTACTGCTATGAGGACTGAAGGCAGTTAGTCTAGGACTTGGGACACAGAAGGTGCTCAGCTAATGTCAGATGGGTTCCCATGGCTGGACCTGGCTGTCATCCCCTCCTTCAGGCTCAACCTCCATCCCATCCCCAGGCCAGTGACTAAGGCCATCTCTGGCCAGGTGGGAAATCTCATGGGCTAAAGGTGGCACTGGCTGGCGTTCCCCAGCTCATTGTCCAGTGCCCTGGGACACTCCAGAGGGCTGAGCCAGCACCTTCTTCCCTCCCCCGCGAGCTCTTGGAGTCCCATCTGCTGGGAGTCCTGCTTACAAGGGGCTCTGCTCCCTAAAACCTGCTCCCAGGGTCAAGCCCACAGGGCACCTTGGGACGAGGGGTCGAGGCCCGGCCTAGGGTGCGTTTAGCACCGGAGAGCTCACGGTGGGGGCAGGCTCCTGGGTTAGGGCTTCTGTTTGCTCGCTCCAGCCCTTTCCGACCAGCTGGGCACCAGCAGCACCTTCCAGACCCAGGACCGAGGCACAGGTCACATCACAGGAGGTCCCCACAAAGACCCCCGGGTGTCTGCTGATGCAGCAGCAGCCATCAGCAGATCCTTGGGCTGTGCAGAGTCCTGTAGTGATGTCACCCCAGTCCATTTTGACCATAGCCTTAAGAGGGGTATTGTTAACCCTATTTTATAAAAGAAGAAACTGAGGCCCCAGAGCAGTTCATCCAGCCAGAGGATGGGGAGAGGGTTCTCCCTGAGCTGTCAGGGAAGGCCCTGGGGTGGGAGCCCAGCCTGGCAGTCAGGAAGGGAGGGACGTTTCCCCAGAGGGAAGGGTGTGAGCCCAGAGGGGGAAGGAGCCACTGTTTCAGCCCTTGTGACTGGGAGGGGAGCTGTGTCGAGGAGGCCATGGGGTGGGGCTGAGGGGCTGGAGCCAGGCACTGCAGCTGGTACCCGGAGGTGTGACGATAGGTGGTGTGAGACTCGGGCCCCAGGGACTCTCTGTTGAGCTGGAGAGGGGATGGGCAGCAAGGAGTCAGCAGGTTAACTGTAACACAGTGTGACCAGGGCCACGCTGGGGGAAGGGGTCCAGGATTCCCATAAGAGAGCAGCCTGTTTCCCAGGAGGAGAGTGGGGTACAGGGAGGATGTCAGGGAGGGCTTCAGAGAGGAGGTGACTTTTAGCTGACTTAGAGAGATGAGTCGAATTTCACTTGTCAGAGCTAGAGTAAGCAAAACATGGACCCTTCCAGTGTCTGGGGAGCAGCATATTTCGGGGGTGTTAAGAAAGAAGGGTGTGGCAGTGTAAGAAGGTACTGGAGAGCCTCCCCAGCCAGAAGGACTGGTCAGCCGAGGGTGGGCTCTGTGCTGGAGTCTGTCTGAACCAGGATCCCTTTCTGCTCAGGGGATAAAGGAATGCATGGATTCAGAGAGGGTGAGGCATGTGCTGTCCTTCCAGGGTAACTGAGGCATTTAGCTGTTGCCCGAGGGGCTTGGACTTTGTCCTGCAGGCCATGGGGGGCCAGGAAGGGTTTTAAAGTAGGGGGCAACGTGCATTTTTAAAAAGCGTTTGCATTTTTAGAAGGAGGAACTCCCCGAAGGGTTAATACTCAGTCCAGGGGCCTGAATCACCAGCGGTGAAATTGGGCTGTGTGGGTGGGGGAAGAACAAGGCTTCCTCGGGCTGCTGAAGTCATTCCATCCATGTGAGAGGAGCCCTGGCACCCCGTTCACACTTGCCTGTGCTGGGGGCCCAACCGGAGGCAGGAGGAGCCCCCAGCAATGCGTGCCCCCTGCTGGAAGGTGTGCCGTGCCTGCCCTGGAAGCCCCACTGGTGTGGGATAGGAAGGACAGACAGCACCCACCCATGCCCCACTGTGGCTGTGAGAGGGCAGGACCCTGTGCCCCAGGGGAAGACAGTCAGAAGAGGTGCTTTGTGGCAGCCCCAGACCAGGAAATAGCCTCTGTCCTCCCCCTCCTGAGACATTTCCTCCAGATGAAATCACATCCCCAGCAGGGGAACAGGCCCTTATTGTGATGGGCTGGGGTCTCTAGAGAAAGGATACCATTGAGGCCCTTAAAAATAGCAGCCTGGAGAGATGTATGAACTGGCCTGTAGAGTGGTGTGGCCCACCCCCAAACCCCCTGCCGCACAGGCCCTGCCACCCCCACCCCAGACCTTGACCTGTTGATGACCAGCTGGAGAATCCACCAGGCCAGGCGGGAGGGGCAGCTGGTCCTGAAAGGTTTCCCCTGCACTCCCTCTGCCTCACCCACCCCGGCTAAGACAGCTAGGGCCTCTGCAGATCTTCTCTCATGTAATTCTCACCAGGACTTTAGGAAGTAGGGATAATCGACATTTTACAAACTGACATTTAACAGTTGAAGAAACTGAGGCACAACTCACAAGTCACACAGTGGGTGTGTGGTAGAGCCCAGGTTCAAAACCAGCCAGCCTGGCAGTTGAATCCCAACCTCTGTGCCTTGGATTCTATGGTGGTGGGCTGGCCACAGGTGCAGGCCTGTCACCGGGGACCCAGCAGGGTCTGCCCCCAGGAGTCCTGCCACGTGCTCTAGGTAGGCACCAGTGTTGATCATGGCAGTTGGCCTCAGGCTGGTCACCTTGAGCTGGTGGCAGTGGTGACCACTGGTTATATCCCTCCAGCATCTTGACAGTCCTGCAGCCACCTCTGCAGGGCCCAGTGCCAGGTTCGGCGCACTCCTTCCAGCCTGAGAGCTGGGGCGAGCAGGCACGGTTTGGGCAGAGGAGGGGAGTGCAGAGTGAGTGTGAGTGTGCTGGGTGGATGGTGTGTGAGATGGAGGAGTGTTAGCTATCCTGGGCTCCATGATGCCAAGGTGGCAGCAAGAGGAGGGACTTCCTAGGGTGACTAGGAAGGGCCGTCCACGGGGTGGACCTGAGAAGGAGATATTCTGGGGTGCTGACAGGGGCAAGCCTGGGGGCAGGCTGGGTGCAGGCTGGGTAGGGCTGGACCTTCGCCCGCCAGCCAGCCTCTCTGGGATAGCACTGCTCCCTCCTCCCCCGTCTGGCCAGATCAGAGCAGGATGCGGAGCTACAGCACCTGCGGGGGCGTGCTGCCTTCCTACCTCAAGATTCATTCCATTCCATTCCATTTCATTCCATTCATGTGAGGGACTCCCGGCAGCCTGACAGCCCCCTGAGCCCGACCCTGTGCTGCACCTTACCCTCTGTGAGCCACCTGGAGAGAGGGGGAGGGGGTGGCAATACCAGCTGTTGGCAGCTCTGTTCTGGCCCAGCCCAGCTGCCACCCGCGGTGCCCCAGCCCCCTCCTGTCCTATCTTGTCCAACCCTAATCTGAAGCTGGTGCTGTCAGCTACTTGTCACAGGCACTGCTGGAGCCCCGGTCCCCTGCAGTCCACAGGCCCCCCCAAGTCCAGCCACCCCACCACCACGCTCCCTCACTCTCCACCCTTCTCCCCGCTTCCCAGAAGCTGAGCTCCGACTCCTCCTTGGAGAGAGAGTGGGATGATGTCACTTCCTGAGGGTGGGGGGAGGAGTAGGCACGACCCCGGCAGGCTAGCCCGCCAGCCTGCCCGGGGCCACAGCTTGCCAAGTGGCTGCAGCGGGGATAAGGAGGCGGGCCGGGCGGACATGCCGGCTGGCCACCCAGCCCTACGCCCTCTCGCCCACCCCAAGGGCTATGCCCACTGGCCAGGGAAGACTTGGCTGCTTCCTTCCCGAATAATGCCGGGCTCCTTGGACACACATTTTCCCTGGAGCCGTCACTGGGGAGAGGAGGATCTGCCGCCTGCCCCGGACCAGGTGCCATGTAAGCCTCTACTGGCCTGGGGGGGCAGCTGCCCACCAACTTGGTGACTATCCCCCTGCAGCAGGGCTCCCTCTGCACAGTTTAGTGCAGGGCTACCCTGGAGCCCTTTATGGGTATCTCTGGGGAGCCAAACTGCCTGTGGGGTCACTTCCCACCCATGCTGCTTCCCTTCTCTCTGGGGTGCTGAGGAGTGGGGGCCTTGAGTTCCTGGGCACTCTTCCCTGAGCTTGCTTGGGGCTGACTTGAATTCAGCTACTTCAGAGAGTTGGAAATCCAGCCGTAAAAGCTGCACGGCTCAGGGTGGGCTTGGGAGGTATTGTTGCCAGGAGGGGGGTTACCCTGCAGGGCTCACCCCATCCTTCCAGCAGTGTGGGGTGGAAGGTGTCCCAAGCCCTACTCCTGACCTTGCACCTCAACCGTTCCCTTCCCTCCCTGGAGGCATTGCTGTGGTGGGGACTTCTGTCTAATGGGATCAAAACCAAGTCATAGAGCATGATCTCGACTTGCAGCAAAGCAAGACACTGAGAACCTCATTCAAGAAATACTTAACGAGCCGGGTGCGGTGGCTCACGCCTGTAATCCCAGCACTTTGGGAGGCCGAGGCAGGTGGATCACGAGGTCAAGAGATCGAGACCATCCTGGTCAACATAGTGAAACCCCGTCTCTACTAAAAAACTACAAAAAATTAGCTGGGCATGGTGGTGCGTGCCTGTAATCCCAGCTACTCAGGAGGCTGAGGCAGGAGAATTGCCTGAACCTAGGAGGCGGAGGTTGCGGTGAGCCGAGATCGCGCCATTGCACTCCAGCCTGGGTAACAAGAGTGAAACTCTGTCTCAAAAAAAAAAAAAAAAAGAAATACTTAACGGCCAGACACGGTGGCTCATGCCTGTAATCCCAGCACTTTGGAAGGCAAGGCGGGCAGATCACTTGAGGTCGGGAGTTCGAGACCAGCCTGACCAACATAGAGAGATCCCGTCTCTACTAAAAGTACAAAATCAGCCTGGTGTGGTGGTGCATGCCTGTCATTTCAGCTGTTCGGGAGGCTGAGGCAGGAGAATCACATGAACCTGTGAGGCGGAGGTTGCAGTGAGCTGAAATCACGGCATTGTACTCCTCTGTCTCAAAAAAAGAAAAAAGAAAAAAAAATACTTATTGAGCACCTGCTGTCTGCCAGGCAGTCCTCATCCTCCGTGTTCGTGAGTCCGACCATACACGCTCCCTTGCCCCCACCTTCCCAAGGCCTTCAGCCTTTTTCCAGCTTCGCCAGGCTTTGTGCTGTTGGGCAGGCTTGTTCTTGGTCTGGGAAGCCCCCTCCCTTGACTCCAAGGACAGTGTGCACTGGGCCAGGTCTAAAGATTATAGGGCTTGAGGGCTAGGCTGAGGGTCCTGATCCCATGTAGGAGGAAACAGGGGGGGTGAGCCTAGGTTTTTAATAGAGCTGGATAGTGACTACTGGGGTAACCTCAGGTAGAAACCGATGGGCCAATGCCAGTCTCGGGGGACAGGAGAGACCCCAGGGGGAAGGCTGAAGTCTGTGTCCTGCTGCTAAGGTCCTTTGTGTGGGCTCCTGCCCGGAGATGGGTCAGCACTTCCTGTGGCCAGCTCCAAAAATGCCTGCACTGCTGGCCACAGAAGGGACTGATCCAGTGGCCGAGAAATGCAGTGGCCCTGGGTGCCGCCACGTCGCCAGGCAGCCACAGGGTCCTCTGCTTTCTTGCAGGAGGTGAGCGCCAGGCCCGCTGAGCCTCTGCAGAGCCACCAGCCATGCCCGGGATCGTGGTGTTCCGGCGGCGCTGGTCTGTGGGCAGCGATGACCTTGTCCTGCCGGCCATCTTCCTCTTCCTCCTGCACACCACCTGGTGAGTCCCCAGGCCTGGGGCCATAGGCCTGGGTTTGGGGAGACAGGCCTGGAAGGAAGCTTTCTGGCCCTTTGTTCCTCTCTGCTTGGGCCCAAGTCCTGACCCTGTCATGCTCCCAGCTGCCCGGAGGAGGTGCCCGAAACATTGAGCCCCTTAGGACAGTACCCACATGGAGCTGAGACCCCTGCTACCATTGCTGGACCTAACCCCGGCACTGGGTAGGGTTGCTGCCACTGTCTCCCCAAGGCTGACCCTGAGTCTTTGGCCACCCAGCCGTTCTAGGCATTCAGTGCCAGGTGGACAATGGTCTTAGGAGGAGGTACCTGCTGCCACCCCTCCCTCCTCTGAATCCGGGCTGGGGAAGGGCCTGCCTGCTAGGAGCGTCTTGAGGTGTGGGGGCCGCCTGGCCTTGCTCACATGCGCTTTCCCTTGACAGGTTTGTGATCCTGTCCGTGGTGCTCTTCGGCCTGGTCTACAGCCCGCACGAGGCCTGCTCCCTGAACTTGGTGGACCACGGCCGAGGCTACCTGGGCATCCTGCTGAGCTGCATGATCGCTGAGATGGCCATCATCTGGCTGAGCATGCGTGGGGGCATCCTCTACACGGAGCCCCGCGACTCCATGCAGTACGTGCTCTACGTGCGCCTGGGTAAGGGCCACCCACCCTGGGGTGCTGCCCCAGACAACTCCCACCTCTCCATTCATTCAGCCAGGATTTACTGGGCACCTGCTATGAGCCAGGCCCTGTGTTAGCACTGGGGTACACCAGTGAGCTAAGGCCTTCTATGGCTTATGTTCTAGACGAGGGGCCAGCAAATTGCAGCCCGAGGGCCAAATCCAGCCTGCTGTATGTGTTTATATGTAAGGTTTTAGGCCAGATGTGGGGTGGCTCACGCCTGTAATCCCAGCACTTTGAGGCCACATCAGATGGATCACAAGGTCAGGAGTTCAAGTCCAGCCTGGCCAACATGGGGAAACCCCGTCTCTACTAAAAATACAAAAATTAGCCAGGCATGGTAGTTCGTGCCTGTAATCACAGCTACTTGGGAGGCTGAGGCAGGAGAATCGCTTGAACCGAGGAGGTGGAAGTTGCAGTGAGCCAAGATCGCGCCACTGCACTCCAGCCTGGGCGAGAGAGCAAGACTCAGTCTAAAAACAAAAAAGTTTGACTGGAATATATCCATTCAGTTAGGTGTTGTCTCCAGCTGCTTTGCCCCTATAACAGCTGAGTTGACTAGTTACTACAGAGACTGTAGGACTCCCAGAGTCCAAGACATTTGCTCTTTGACCCTTTACAGAAAAAGGCTGCTGACCCCTATCCTAAACCATGTGCATCTCTTCAGAGCACGTCTTCCCTGTGATCCTTTTCTGTACAGGCTCACCACTTCCTGGGAACCCCCTCAGGGGTCTGGGCTGGCTCCCCAGAGGACCAGCCTGTGTCCTCTTCCTGGGCTCAGGTTGCAGCCCTTTCTTCTGGTCGTTCCTAGTGAACTCCTCTTGTGCTTCTGTGCACTGTGCTAAGCCCTTTTCCCTGTGTTAACTCACACGGAGCAGATGTTATTGGTCTCCTTTTAGAGACGAGGAAACTGGGGCTCAGGCCTAGCCCCTTCAAGGTAACACAACTTGTAAGTGTGTAAATGTCAGCGATGGGATTTGAACCCAAGCCATCTGGCTCCAAAGTCTGGTCTCTGAGCTGCCACGCTGCTGCCTGTGGGGCTGGGACTTCCCATGCTGCCCCGGTGAGGCCAGCAGATCTCCTCCTCAGCCACCACTCCATACCCCACCCCTCCAGTCTCGGCCCTGGGCTCCGAGTACTGAGGGACCTGAGCTGGATGCAGACTTGAGCAGACCGGCCACTGGGCCCTTCCCCTCTCCTCCATCAGGTTTCAGGGGCCTCTTGCTGGGAAAGAGTTTCCATAAAGTGAACACACTCTCATCTAACTTTTGCATAGTCTTACAACATAGCTGTTGTCACCCCCATTTTGCAGATGAGGAAATGGAGGCCCAGAGAGAGATTAGGTGACTTGCCTAAGATGTGTCTGATTCCAGACTTTGGACACATGATTCTGAAATCCTGAAAGAATGAGGAAATGGGCCTGTGTGGTGGCTCATGCCTGTAATCCCAGCACTTTGGGAGGCCGAGGCGGGTAGATCACTTGAGGTCAGGAGTTCGAGACCAGCCTGGCCAATATAGTAAAACCCCATCTCTACTAAAAATACAAAAATTAGCTGGGTGAGGTGGCATGTGCCTGTAATCCCAGCCACTCGGAAGGCTGAGGCAGGAGAATCGCTGGAACCCGGGAGGCGGAGGTTGCAGTGAGCTGAGATGTCACTATTGCACTCTAGCCTGGGCAATGAACAAGAGCAAAACTCAAAAATAAAAAAAAAAGAAGGATGAGGAAATGCCTCTTTATCACCCACCTTTCCAGCCACCTTCTCAGGGAGGCCCTGGGACCTGAAGGCACAGAAGCTAGGACAAGTGGTGGGCACATTGCAAGGGGTCGGGCCCCTGCAACAGGGCCAAATGGTGACAGGACAGCCTTGGGGCCTGTGAGGCAGAGGTGGGGATGGCTGCTGGCCCACTGCCTCTGCCCTTGCTACTGAGCTGGTTGAAGGCTCTGTAACAGGAGAGACCAGGCCCTTCCCTGGTGGGCAGGTGGTAGCCATCCTTCAGCCAGGCCTGCTCTCCTTGCAGCCATCCTGGTGATCGAGTTCATCTACGCCATCGTGGGCATCGTGTGGCTCACTCAATACTACAACTCCTGCAATGACCTCACTGCCAAGAATGTCACCCTCGGTACGTCTGGGCGAGGCCTGCTGGAGCCTCAGCAGCCCCGGGGCGCAGGGGACGGGATCAGTTCAGAGAGGAAGAAGCTTGGGCATCACTGGAGGGAAATGGCTTTTGTCAGGGCACAAACAGGTTGGCGGGGCGAGGCAGCTTCCCTCACCCCTGAATCCTGCCAGCCACCCTTAGGGGACCCTGGTCTGGGGTGGGCTGCAGCAGGCACGGAGCTGCCTAGTTCAAGTCGAGGCTCTTCAACATCTCCTTGAAAACCCACAGAGCCACTTGCTCTGAGCCAGGAGTGGCCCTTGGAGTTGTGGGTAGGCAAAAGGGTGGCCACGTATGTGGCCAAAGGCTGGGACCAGGGGCTTTGGAGCCTGGCTTTTGTCCCCAGAAGCATTTGGGGGGAGGGAGGCTCCAGCATCCCTTTCTTTAGAGCGGGTGAAGCAGCGACGTGTCCCCAGCACCTCTACCTACTGCCCCCGACTGCTGCCTGCAGGGATGGTTGTCTGCAACTGGGTAGTCATCCTCAGTGTGTGCATCACCGTCCTCTGTGTCTTCGACCCCACGGGCCGCACCTTTGTCAAGCTGAGAGCCACCAAGAGGCGGCAGCGTAACCTTCGGACCTACAACCTGCGGTCAGTCAGCAGGGTGGGCGGGCAGCCCCCGGGTGGGCTTTGCTGACTGGTGGGCAGAGGTCTCCATTCTCCAGGAGGCTGCCCTAGATCTCCCAGACTGCAGGCCAACCTTGTGTGAGCTGTGGGTATTAGTCAAAGGGCTTAACCTCTCCCTGCCTGTTTCCTTGTCTATAAACTGCTATAAAATAATAACAGTTCTTGTCTCATGATATTGTTGTGAGATTTAACTGAGATTAATACCTGCAGAGGGACTAACGCAGTGCTCACACTGGGTATGTGCTCAGTAAATAGTAGCTACTGTCATCACTATCAGTGCTGATAAGAACAATGCCAATAGCAAAGGCAGGCATTGTGCATAGTAAGTTACAGCTCCACCAGGCAGCTGTCATCTTCCCCATAATACAGGTGGAGAAACTGAGGTACAGAGAGATTATGGGACTTGCCTGAGGTTACACAGCTAGAAAATGGTGAGGCTGGGAACTAGCTCAGGCAATCTGGCTTTGGAGCCCTTGCTTAACTATTTTTTTTTTTTTTTTTTGAGACAAGAGTCTTGCTCTGTTTCCCAGGCTGGAGTGCAGTGGCATGATCTCGGCTCACTGCAACCTTCACCTCCTGGGTTCAAGCAGTTCCCCTGCTTTAGCCTCCTGAGTAGCTAGGATGACAGGCATGTGCCACCATACCCGGCCAATTTTTGTATTTTTGGTAGAGACAGGGTTTCACCATGTTGGTCAGGCTGGTCTCCAACTCCTAACCTTGTGATCCTTCTGCCTCAGCCTCTCAAAGTGCTGGGATTACAGGCATGAGCCACCATGCCCAGCCACTTAACTAACTGTTAATGCTAGGCTAGGCTGCCTCTAGAATTCAGAGATTGGAAGAGGTTAGTCAAGGAAAGCTTCCTAGAGGGGGTGAATTTTGCATGATGTTTTAAAGATGGGGGAAAGTGTGCCATGGCAGGCAAAATGAGGGAGAGCATCCAGGCAGTGCTGAAAGAAAAAGAGCGGGGCTTCCAGGGTGGGCCCCAGTACCTCCTGTGAATGGGGCTTCTACGGTGCATTATGTAAGGAGCTCTCCATGCTGAGCCCTTTATGCAGCTCATCCATTTCATCCCTTTGTGAGCCGCAGCCTTGTTGTGAGACCATTCTACAGAGGAAGAATCCAAGTCTCAGAGAGGGTGGGTCACCTGCCCCGGGCCATGCTGCTGGGGTGCAGAACTGGCACCACACCTGCAGCCCGGAGTAGCTGGCTCAAGCACCCTCACCTGGGGAGCGGGCTGCCTGGGCCCCCTGCCTGGCAGGAATTCTCCCCATCCCACCCTCCTGCGCCTATGTTCGGCTTCCCATGGACCTTCCATGTCAGCTCACCACTGCAGCCACAGCCTGCTCTGGCCACCTCCCAGCCCAAAATGTCAGGTCTTGGTGCCAAGGCCCTGGAGCCCATTTTCCCTCCCAGCCCAGCTGGCCACCACCACCCATCCCACAGTGCTCTGGGAACCCTGCTTGGCCAGCACACTGTCCCTTCATCAGGCCCCTGGAAGGTGGGACACTGTCTTAGCATGTACAGCTGCCCAAGTCCCTAAGAGCCAGCAGGTCCCCAAAGCAGCAAGTCCCTGCACCCTTCCCTGCTCCCTTCTTGCAGCCCTGAAAGACCCTGTTGCCCTCCTCCTCGTGGCCATCTGCCTTAGGGAGCCAGGGTTGGAGAGTGGGAAGCAGTCCTTAGACACGGGGAAGAGCCAAGAGGCTCAAAAAGGGCCCGGCCTGTCCTTCCTGATGGGCGTTAACTGCCTTGAATTCATCTGAGGGTCACCCTTGCCTTCCTCTCCTGACCACCCGGCATCAGGCTTTTAAGGAGCCAGCACATGGCACAAAAGCAAGCCAGCCCCTTCTCGCTCGGTTTGGAGGTCTGCACTTTTCATGTTGGATCTGTTATCTTTATGTTCAAACACACTGACTCCAGACATCCAGCCTAGGAGGAACCTCGTGAATCACTGGCCCATTGCTCTGCCTTTGCGTACAGACTCCTGGAGACCCCGATTCTCCATCTGAGCAGCCAGATCCACTGGGGGTGGCATTGGGGGGTAATAATAGACAGAGAACAGACCATGTTGGGGAGGGGTAGAGCCCTCCCCCCACCTAGGTATCAGATCTAAGGAACTGAGAAATGCAGAGCCTCATTCAGCCCCATCAGTTTCCTGTAAATACATAGGTATCTGAAATCCTTTCTGGGGAAAAGCAGGTCTTTCTGGAAGGTCTGTTCCAGGCCTTAGAATGAGATGACAGAGAGGCCCAACACCCTGCTGACCTCTCCCAGGGTTTGAGCCTTTGGACACCTGAGCTGCAGCATAGCCCCACTTTAGGCTCCCAACTCTGAAGTCCCAGAGCCTGCCTGGGTCCAGTCTTCCAAATGCCAAGGAGCCTCTCCACCGCTCCCCACCTCCCTCTTCGACCCACTCACCCGTGGCCAACAGCACACACCATCTGAGGCTAGCAGGAGTCTGTCAGGGAGTGCCCCTGCTAGCCAGCAGCCAGGCCACTGGCCACCAGCTTTGGAATGGCCTGGGCTCTGTTCTCCCCCAGACCCCCCTGTGGGAACGCTTTGGTAGGGTCCTGGGAACAGGCTGCCCTGTTTCCATAATGCCTGGTCCAGCCCACTGACCTCACACATACCGCCTCTCCCGCTTTGCAGGCACCGCTTAGAGGAGGGTCAGGCCACCAGCTGGTCACGCCGGCTCAAAGTGTTCCTCTGCTGCACGCGGACGAAAGACTCCCAGTCAGTAAGTACTGGGAGGTCGCTCCCCTCTGGCTCACATCCTGTGGTCAGGTGGTTTGGGGGCCGTTTGCTCCTTTGGCAAAGTGGGATGGCGCAGGGCTGGTGGGAAGGAGCAGGGTTTCCAGTGTGAGCAAATACAGCCTGCTCATACGGGGGCCTGTTATTCACTGACTCACTGGCTCTAGCATTCGAGACAGCGTCCACTTGCTTTGTCAAGGGAACAGAAAGCTGTGAAGACTTTGTATCAAAGCCCTTGGAACTTATACTCTAGTTTAGGAGAAGAAATACTCAAAGTCAGGGTGACCTGAAGACAAAGAAAACTAGCGTTTCACCAGCAGCAAATTAATCAGGAAGACCTGGTAAAGCCAATAGGTACTTAGCACGGTCCCAGATGGGTGCACATAGTCAGTCTTCAGCACCTGGGAGCTCAGAAAAGTGGCCAGAGGGCCAGACCTAGCCAAGGCACTTGCAGAAGGAAGACAGGGCCAGCTGGGGGTGGCCCCCAAGGGGAGGGAAGGGAGGCAGGCCCTGGGGTCCTCCAGGAGCACCCCACAGTGGGCAGGGACTTTAGAGATCATCCAGTCCCACCCCTCGTTTTACAGATCAGGCAGCTGAGGCCCAGAGAGGTGGAGTGACTTGCTCAGCGTCCCACAGCTAGTTAGTAGCAGAGCCAGTGAGGTCAGGAGACCACTCCTCCCTGAGGCAGACAGCAAAGTGCCTTCCACGGAAGCCACCGGGAAGCCTTGAGTGGCTCCTGCCCACCAGCGTGCCCTGGTGAGCCGTAGAGTGAGTAATCCAGTGGAAGAAAGCCCCCGAGTTTCCCTGGTGGGTGGGGAGCACCCCCTTGGGTCTCTCTGGGGTGGTCTGAGGGGTCTGGGCCGCAGGCAGGCCAGGCAGAGGGTAGAGAGCCGGCCCCTGGCAGATGGAGGCTGGGGCTGCTGTGTGGCGGGCACACCCACCTCTCCAGGCGCGTGGGTAGAGCTGTGACTGTTGTCAGCATCTGGGGAAAAGGCAGTACCTCGCAGCGGAGCCCCAGGGCAAGGGTCCCGATAGGCACTGACGGTCCCAGGGGCCAGGTCCAGTCCCAAGCACAGTTTGGTTAGCCTGTGTTGTGTTGCTTACACATTTTAATTGGATGCCAGCATTTAAAAATCAGGGCGTTTCCATAAACTCCTGCACTTCTGAAACTGGGGAAGTGGGCCCTCTCCCAGGGCCGGTCAGCTGGAGCCGAGCAGTAGCTGGCTCTGTTTTGCTACATTTGGCATTTGAGTTGGCAGCCCTTGATTTTTCCACGACAAGTGCCAGACACTCAGGGGCGAGACCTAGTGAGACAGAGTTCATTGCCATGTGGTGGTTCCCACCTCAGCCCCTCCTGACAGGTTAGGGAAGAGGCTCTGGGCTGCAGTGTGGGGCGGGGAAGGGAAGACAGGTGCACCAGCCAGCAGGTCTCGCCTCCTGCCCTGAGGCCCAGACGTACGCTGTCCTCAGGCCAAGGGACTGGAGAGAAGCTGTGGGGGGCCGCTGGGCCAGCGAGAACACCCCCTTCTAGGGCACATTGTGGGGGTCACTGAGTCAGCAGCCTGTGGGTAGCTGAGGGAGGAGGCCTGAGACCTGGCAGGCTCCACAGAGGCCTGAAGAGGGACCTCCAAGGTCACAGCTGGTGGGTCCAAGGGAGCCAGGAGCTTAGCTTGGTTTCTCTGCTGGAGAGAAAGGCTAGAGGAGAAACAAACCGGAGCCACCGGCCTTGATCCCAGTGTCTGGGAAAGTGAAAAGGAGTGGCTCAAGTTGGCACCTGCTCTAGGTAGACAGTGGGCACCCCAGAAATTCCAAGCTACTGCCAGGTCTAGGAGGCCAGAGCCCTGGGCAGGGCCCTCAGGGTCACAGGAGCACAGGGCCGCACGGGGTCAGGCTCAGCGGAGACTGCGGAGGTGCCAGGGAGAACCTGCCCGGGGGTCCCCGAGAAGACACTTCTGCGGCCTCCCAGCCCAGGGGGATTTACTCCTGGCCTCTCGTCCTCTCTCCTGCTCCCCTGCCACTGCCTCCTGCCTTCCTGGACTTCGTAGGATGCCTACTCAGAGATCGCCTACCTCTTTGCGGAGTTCTTCCGGGACCTGGACATTGTCCCGTCCGACATCATCGCTGGCCTGGTGCTGCTCCGGCAGCGGCAGCGGGCCAAGCGCAACGCCGTGCTGGACGAGGTGAGCCCCGCCAGCCCCTCCTCCGTGACCGCCCCACACCACCCTCCTTTCGGGCCCCTTCCCTGCGGCCCCTGCAGCAGAGGGCTTGCTCCCACGCAGCTCCGCAGCCACCACGCGCCCTCTTGCATCTTGGAGGCCACCTTTTGCCGCGGGCCCCCCCTGCTTTCCTGAGCTTATCCCTTAGCCAGGCTTTCCGTGACCACTACTGCAGGGACTTTCCGGGCCCTGCATGGCTGCCTCTGGAGCTGGCCCTCAAAGGACATCTAACTGCAGGCTTGGTGGGCACCGTGAGCTCCCGAGCCAGCCTTCTGCATGACCACTCCGTGCCCCCACATCCCCACCAACACACCAACCCCAGTTAGGGTTTCTCAGCATCTCATAAAAATACCTCCCCACCCCCCACTAGGGGCCAGGAATGTCCTCAGGGGCTTGATGTTTTTGGGTAGAAGGGGAGCATCTGGAAATATGGAGAAACCTCAGATTTTGGAAAAGTGGCTGAATCTTGGAAGAACTAGAAGCTGCATGCTCCTTTGGGCTTCTTGGCCTTTGGGAAGCAGGCAGATGCCAGGGCCTGGGCCCCCTTTCCCGGCCATGCAGCCGGGCCTGGGCCAGCCGTTGTCCGTCTTCACCTGCCCGTCTTACAGGCAAACAATGACATCTTGGCCTTTCTGTCTGGGATGCCAGTGACAAGAAACACCAAGTACCTCGACCTCAAGAATTCGGTGAGTCAGAGATCACCTCCCACCCCACCCACCCCATCCCCACCCCTCCCTCTCTGCCACAATGACCTAAGCAAACCCCTCCCAGCTGTCCTTGCAGTATCAGCCACATTGCCCCCGCCCGGTCTCCCTCCCGGCTCCCTGGAGAGCCTCCCTGTTCAGATCATGCCCTTCACAAGAACCACCCACCTCACACCGGTTCTACAAACGAATCCCCTGAATTCCTTTACCAAGTTCAGAAGTGTTTGGTCCTGGCCTCTTGAGATGACAGGGTGAGCTGCTAGGATTTTTGCTGCTGCTGTTATGAAACGCAGCGGGCGTAGAACTTGATTTCCAAGCTTTTTTAGTAGAGGAACCTTTTCTCAAGTGTCTTTAGCGGAAATCCAGCATGTTACAGGGAAAGGTGCTGCCAGTACAGTGCTGGGAGAGCCCAGCCCCGCGCCCAGCACAGCCCAGGCTGGAACCACAGCTGGCAGCCGGGAGGAACAGGCCCTGCCTCGGGACGCGAACGGTTAGAGTGTGCATCTGCTCTGATGCCGGTCGCTGCAACCCCCAGCAGGCCCCTCATCTGTGAAATGACACTGGGCACAACTTCCACCAGAGCTGTGCTGGGAGGACATGAGCCATTCCCATCACAGTGCCGGGGAGCCACAGTGCCAGCCAGGATGCTGATGGAAAGAATTCCATCTCTTAGAAATCTGTCCTTTAGGCCACGTGTGCCATCTCGCACCTGCAATCCCAGTACTTTGGGAGGCCGAGGCGGGAGGATTGCTTGAGGCCAGGAGTTTGAGACCAGCCTTGGCAACATAGTGAGACCCCGTCTCTACCTCCCGCCCCCCAAAAAATAGTCAAGTATGGTGGCACATGCCTGTGACCCCAGCTACTTGGGAGACTGAGGTAGGAGGATTGCTTGAGCCCAGATCAGGGCTGCGGTGAGCTATGATTGTGCCACTGCACTCCAGCTGCACTGTTTCCTAAAAAGAAGAAAAGAAACCCCAACACTCAGTCCCTTAGAAAATCCTCTGTCCGCCCTGTCTGCCCCTACTCTCCCACAAAGCAGGCATTTGGATCCTTTCTAAAAGTAGCCACATCCATAGTGGGTGCCCCAAACAGCCCATTTCTGCTTGCCAGGCCCTGCCCTGGCTGCTCTCACCACCCTCTCCCTCCCACGCCTCACAGGGAGCAGGGAGGGCAGGCAGCTGTGACTCCCATCAAGCAACTCCCATTGAGGTGCCAGGGTCACACCTGCCACCTGGCAGAGGCTGCCAGGGCCCGCCCCGCCCCCGAGGCTGCAGGGAGCTCCCGACAGGGAGAGGATGATTACCTTCCCACTCTCGTTCCTGAAGAGCAGCCAGCCTGGCCAGGGATGTTTCCATGGGCCTCGGGGCCCTGATTAAGGTGCCACCTATTTCACTTCACAAGGTGACTAATCACCCTCTTTAACTTTTACAAGGTGGCTAATTCCCTCTCTCGGTGCCTGGGGCACTCGGGAAAGACTGGAAGCTGGCAGGCACTTTGCTGGGACACCCCTGCCTCTTCCTCCCTCCACCCTAGCAACCAATAACCTCCTCAGTGTCAACAGTGGCGGCAGGGCCTTAGACACAGTGGCTTTCAAACTGGCACCTTTCTCCCGAGAGATCCCAATCTCCCATAGAGAGATCCCAGTCTCGCACAGAGAGATCCCAGTCTTGCACAGACGCAGCCCCTGCCTGGAGCCCTGGGAGCCTGCAGCTGTCTGAGTCAAGCTGAGGGCTCTCGATGTTTGCAGACAACCCGAGGGCCAGAGATTTGGTGATTGGCCTCTGGGCCCAGCAAGGACGTCCTGCTGCCCAAGCCCACACAGCCCGCCCAGCTGGAGGGCCAGGACCTCTCAGGGCTACGTTTTCACAGCACCAAGGGCCCTTCTCAGGGCTGATTGCTGGGGGTTGGGGGGGATTACTACTCATGCCCCTCAACTCTTCCCTTCTCTGGAAAACAGGCAAGGAAACCGACCAAGTAATTTTCTGACCCCAAATCATTAATTCTGAGACTGGAGCAACAGGACGGGTCTCAGAGGACTTGTGTCCTGGTTGCATGGAGATAATTAGGGAAATGCAATTATCGCCTGGAGTAGTGTCCCTCCTGTAAGGCCTGGGCCCCGCACCTCCACAGGGGACCAGCAGCCCCTCCCTGCCTGGGGGTGGGTCTGCAGGCTCCCACCCTGGGGAACTGCTGGGCCCTGAGGCTACAGGCAGGAAGGGCAGGAGGTGACCGCCCTCTGCCTCCTCTCTTCTAGCAAGAAATGCTCCGCTACAAAGAGGTCTGCTACTACATGCTGTTCGCCCTGGCCGCCTACGGCTGGCCCATGTACCTGATGCGGAAACCCGCCTGCGGCCTCTGCCACCTGGCTCGGTCTTGCTCGTGAGTACCCCTGTCCTGTCGCCCAGCGATCGCGCCTCTTCTCCCGGGTGCTGTGTGAGGAAGGGCTGAGGTAAGGGGCTGTGCCCACTGCCTTGCCCTGACTGGCTGCTTTTCTGCATCTTCTCTGGGCCTTTCTAGTTCTGTATTATCCCTGAGCAGTGAAGCTGTGGCCTTTGAAATCAGTGATGGGTTTGAATCCAGACGTTGTCACTTGCAGCCTTGGGCTAGCGAGTCTACCTCTCTGAGGCTCGGTTTCTTTATCTGCGAAGTGGAGATGTTGCTGCATGCCTCGTAGAAGTTTTTGGAGAGGGCTGGATGAGATATTGCATAACTCCCACACTGCTGCCCCCCCTCCCTTCTGGCGTTCTCTCTCTGCCCCCTCAGCCATTCCCTCCTGCCCACATCTTCCCTTCTCTCGGCTCCCCTCATGTGCTCTGCCTTTCTGGAAAAAAGGGCTTTCCTGGCAGGGAGGCCCCATCCATAGAGGTCTCTGAAAAGGCATCGAGAAGGCCCATTAGTTAAAGGCTGCAACCTTCCGGGGGATCTTGGAAAGGCCTTAGCCCCCAGACCTGGCCTGCAGCCTGGCCCCGCCCTCAGCCTACCACTTGGGGGCTGGGTGGACTCTGCTCTCCTAAGTGGGCCAGAGACGGTCACCTGCTCCAGGAGGAACCCCCTCCCTATCCTGGGTGTCTCCACCCTCAGCTCATGCCAGGAAGAAGGAGGACAGCTCCCTGGGCTTCCGTTCTGGAAAGGCTGGCATGCTGGGCGGCAGCTTCTGTCCTCTACATCCCCGCCCTTGGGACCCGCAGCAGCCACACCCACTCTGCAGAGCCTGACCTGTCCTCAGAAAGCTGGGCGGCTCTGGGGGGGGCCTGATTCTCATCATCCATCTGGCGACTGATCAGAGAGGACTGGAGCCCCTCATGCCCCCTTCCCGTCTTTGTCAGCTGCACGTGCCTGGCATTCTTGCCCGCATCCCTGGGAGTACCAGCCATGGCAGAGAACTTCTCAAAATGAGCCCCAGGCTGAGTGCTGAGACCTGGGCTCTGGCAGGCCTTGTTCCATGACTCACTGGCAGTGTGGGGACATCTCTTGGAGCCTCAGTTTCCTAAATTGTAACAGGCAGTATCTCTCCTGCCTGGGTGTTTCAGAACCCAGGGCGTCACTGGCAGGCAGGGCTCTTTTGATGCCCTGCAAACAGGAGGGATGCTGGTATTTGCATTAGGTGTCTTAGTGCTGCAGAGAGAGCAGAGTCCTTAGACCTCATGAGGGCCCAGCCAGGCCTCTGCCTGAGAACCAGGTGCCTGTGGGGCAGAGAGAGGCAGGCTTACAGCCCAGGGTGTTGGGAGGACGCCAGAGGCCAGTGCCCTTCTCAGTGCCCCAGCCTGTCCACAGCAGCCTGGCAAGAGGGAAGAGGGCTGCGCCTCTGTCTTGGGCCCAGGCCTCTCCCCCTCTCTCCCATGGGCAGCAGTTCTCAGCCCATGCAGAGTACAGCGAGCCAGGCCTGCTCCTGGCTTGGCTCCAGCCCTGCCCTGGATGACCCCAGGGCCCTCCCATCCAGGGTGCTGGCCCTGCTCCCCTGACTGGTTCCCCTGGCGTGAAGATCACTGACTCGGAGGCAGCCCTGTCGCTGGAGAAGCGGGGAGACACGTTTTATTAAGCACCAATTATAGGCCAGACCTTTTCTGCATCTTGGACCTTTGATCTCACACCAGCCTTGTGACGTAGCTGTCAGCACCTGCTCTTACAGAGGAGGAAACTGAGGATTAGAATGGCCAAGTGCCCTCCAGGCCCTTGGGGTCAGGAAGTGACACAGCAAGGCTTCAGACTCAAGCCTCCAGCCTCCAAAGGCCACGCTGTTACAGCCTCATGCTCAGCTGAGGTTGGAGTAGGAACAGCTGCCTGAACACAGTAGTCAGCCACTAGACCCTGATTGCCAACACTTGACCTGCAGTGTGGCAGACCATGCTCTCCCATCATACACCGGGGTTGTCCCCCCTACGCCCCGTGGCTTTCTTAGTGAAGCCTCTCCCCATTGGAAAGTGTGTAATAGTCACCCAGGTGATGCTCCAAGTAAAGACAAACTTCCCAGCATCACCGGAATCTAAGATTCCTAATAAAATCTCAGCTGTCATCCCGTGACAACCGGCAGGCCCAGTCACGTGGGCGCAAGCTCCTAGTGCCTGATCAGTGGGGTGCTGGCTCCCTCTGGTGGCCAGAGGCACAGCTGCACCTAGCTGGGTGCCCAGCTCCAGGGCTGCCTCATTCATTTCTTCAGGGAGGCTACTATGTGCCTGGCACTGTTTGTGTGCCCAGAATACAGCAGTGAACCTCTCTGAGGTGCTCACTGCCCAGCAGGGAGATGGACAGTGCATAGACAAAGCAATAAGACACGTGGTGGAGCAGATGGGCGCTTTGGACCCACATAAAGCTGGGTGCCTGGTCGGGATGGGGAGCGCTGGGGCCTGGAGAGCCCTGGCTGTTGGATGAGGTGCCAGGAGAGACCTCACTGTGGTGGGACATTTGAACAGAGGCCCAGAGGGGCCAGGGCCCAGGCCACACCGCCTCAGGTCTGCTGCTGCTCAGGTGCTGCTGACCACACCGGCAGCAGGTCAGAGAGAACAGGGCCTGGTGGGTAGACAGGGCATTGCTGCAGGGGCTTAAGAAGAAAATGATGTGGCTCGACTCACCTTAAAAGGGCCAGTTCATTGCTGAGCTGAGAGGGTAGGGGCAAGTGCAGGGAGGCCAGTCAAGGCCACCAGGGCAGTCCCAGGCAGATCTGCCAGGGCAGGGGCGGGGGAGGAAGGGAACACCCAAAGTATGGCTCTGAGTGTGAAGGGAGGCTGAGCACGTGTACTGACTGAGTAGCATGGCCGTGGGGGTGAGGGCTGAGGAGCCACAGACAGCTGCAAGCCAGAGCCCAAGGGGCCTTGGGAAGACCTCAGCAGGGCTGGGGTACGCAGCAGGGATGAGGTACACAGCAGGGCTGGAGTACACAGCAGGGCTGGGGTACACAGCAGGGCTGGGGTACACAGGGATGGGGTACACCGCAGGGATGGAGTACACAGCAGGGCTGGGGTACACAGCAGGGCTGGGGTACACAGCAGGGCTGGGGCACACAGCAGGGATGGGGTACACAGCAGGGATGGGGTACACTGCAGGGATGGGGTACACAGCAGGGCTGGGGTACGCTGCAGGGATGGGGCACACGGCAGGGATGGGGTACACGGCAGGGATGGGGTACACGGCAGGGATGGGGTACATAGCAGGGTTGGGGTTTGGGAGCTGGCAGGTTGTCAGGTGTCCAAGGGAGTGTTGCCTAGGCCATTGGATGGACGCATCTGGGGGTCGGGGCGGGACTGGGGTGGATTCCTGAGTGTGCAGGTGGTGTCCAAACACAAGACTGCATGAGTTCATGGTGGAGCCACTACTCCTAGAGGGACCCCAGGGCCTCAGTGTTGGGGATACCGGTGTGTAGGCACTGCCCAGGGGAGTCCCAGAGAGGAGGGGGCCCCAGCCAGGTGAGGAGAGGGAAGGGCCCGAAAGGTCAGGTGCTGCCGAGAGCTCGGTTAAGAGGAGGGCTAAGAGTGGCCTGCAGATTTGGTCGCATGGTCACCAGGACTTAGCGAGGGCGCTTTGGGAGAGGCAGTGGGGCTGAAAGCCCATTGGAACTGCTTCCAGGGATGATGGGGGGAGAAAATGGTTCCCTTGGGAACTCCCTGGCCCTGAATTCTCTGCCACCCCCCAGGTGTTGCCTGTGTCCTGCGAGGCCACGGTTCGCCCCTGGAGTCACCATCGAGGAAGACAACTGCTGCGGCTGCAATGCTATTGCCATCCGGCGCCACTTTCTGGACGAGAACATGACGGCGGTGGACATCGTCTACACCTCCTGCCACGATGCGGTGAGGCCAGGCAGGGCGGGCAGGGCTGGGGCCTGACGGCCTGGGGTACTGAGGCTGTCCTTCCAGGCCAGCAGGAGCCCTTGCTTGGTTGGTGCTGGCTGGTTGCAGCTTCCAGGCATCCCCAGCTGGGCAGACCAGAGGTGGCCCCCTCGTCCTCCCCAGACCCTGGCCTGCACCACCTCTGGGGCTGGGAAAGCAGACATCAGCCCCACACCCAGTGTTGGGGTTGCTGGGCCCTAGCCCTCCGGGGAAAGGAGGTGAGGGCAGCAGCAGGGAGGCTTCGGGGAGCGGCAGCTATCACCTGGACTCTGCGAGTGGTGGCACTCAGGGCTGCCAGAGGCAATGAGGAGCTGGGAGGGCAGACCAGGCCTGTGGCTAGGGATGGGAGATCCGCAGTGACCCTGGGAGCCCATCAGCCTCTCCAAGGGCAGAGGCCCCGTGGCTGGTGGATCCGGACTTCCTGGCCAGGAAGGAGACCTGCCTGGTCACCTTCCCTGAGTCTGGCCTCACCAGGGCTGCTCAGGCTCACGAGCTGCCCGCCTCCTAGGTCTACGAAACGCCCTTCTACGTGGCGGTGGACCATGACAAGAAGAAGGTGGTGATCAGTATCCGGGGGACCCTGTCCCCCAAGGTACGCTACCTGTGGCTCCCAGCCCCCGGGGGTGCCTGCCTCCCTCTTTCTGACCTCTTCAGCCCACCCCTCACCTGTCTCTTCTCTCCCCAAGGACGCCCTGACTGACCTGACGGGTGATGCTGAGCGCCTCCCCGTGGAGGGACACCACGGCACCTGGCTGGGCCACAAGGTACCCAAGTCATGGCCCCAGGGCCCCTGGGCTTCTTCCCTCCTCTGCCAGCATGCAGAAGCATGTGTTGTTGGGGGTTCCTCCCTGCTCGCTGGGTGCTGGAAGAGATGGGTCAGAGGCATGGATGAGTCTGAAAGGCCCACTGCTGTGACCCCACAGCCCTGCCCAGCCCAGAGCCTGTCCATGGAAAAGCCGGAGAGGCAGCCGAGAAGAGCTCACAGCAGCTCCATTAGCCCCACCGCCCCTCTGAGCCTTAGTGCCTACCTGTGAAGTGGAAATGACACGATCAGCGAGTCCACCAGCCCCCACAGCCGGGCTGTCACCAGGCCCAAAGGGGAATATGAACGGGGCAGGGTTCCTGAGCTACAGGTCACTGTGGTTTTGCTGGTCACTGGGAGGCCTCCCACTAACCCTGCTTCTGTTCCTGCCCACCCAGGGAATGGTGCTCTCAGCTGAGTACATCAAGAAGAAACTGGAGCAGGAAATGGTCCTGTCCCAGGCCTTCGGGCGAGACCTGGTGAGGCATTTTCCACGACACCAAGCCCTTGTCAGACCCGGGTCCCCCTCCTCCGAGGCAGCAGAGAGAGGAGAGGATGGATGAGTGATGGAACCTCGCACCTCCCACGAAAGCCAGGCTCCCGCCACCCCTTCGAGCCTGGCTCCCAACCCCTCCTCTCTTGTGCCAGGGCCCTCGGGCAGCCTGCTCTGCCCCACCTACAGTCATCGGGCACCTGATTCATGCCAGACACCCGAGGCACGACGATGATTCAGGGCAGGCGGCTTTTCAGCGTGATAGCTGCAGAATCATTTGTCAGAAGGAAATATGGAGAGGCTCAAAATATAGAGCAGAGAGGTGCCCTCTAGGGCGCCTCTCTGCCTGGGGGGCTCTGAGCCCTGCCCACTGGCCATGGTCTGTGCAGGTAGCTCCTGAGGTGCCACCCGCTGCCCCTTCCAAAGCAAAGCAGGCTCTGGCCTCAGGAGACTTCAGCCTAGTAGTGAGGGTAGAGGGATGGGGTCAGGTAACCACGATTGTAGCAGAGTAATGACCATAGTGATAAAAAGCTCCATCCCCGCTACAGATGCAATGAGTAGAGTGAGTGAGCCACTCCTGGAACAACAGGAGGGCTGCCCCAAGCACAGAACCCCTGAGCAAGGTTTTGAAGCGTAAGTAGGAGTTCATTAGAACAGTCTGGCTAAGCAGTTGCTCTGTGGGGACCTAGCTTGGTTCTCTCTGCCCCAGCATTCACACGGCACAGACATGATCCCAGGACTCTGGGAAGACCCCTCGGCCTCCCTTGGGTTGGCTAGACCTTCACTTGGCGGCAGCGGGCAGGGCTCTCAGACTTCTCTCGGTCTCCAGGGTCGTGGAACCAAACACTATGGCCTGATTGTGGTGGGCCACTCCCTGGGTGCGGGCACGGCTGCCATCCTCTCCTTCCTTCTGCGCCCGCAGTACCCGACCCTCAAGTGCTTTGCCTACTCCCCCCCAGGGGGCCTGCTGAGGTAAGCCATCTGAGTTGGCTGGGGCAGCTGGCACCAGTGGGGGCTGAGGGTTGGCTGGGGCTCGGGCTGGACTGGGAGTCGGAGTTCTGATCACGTGGAGGTCTGGGGGCCGGAGAGTGGAGGGTGGAGGTCTGAAATGCCATGTGCCCCCGGGATCCACCCAGCAAAGCCTTGCCAGTGGAAAAGACAGAGCAGGGAGGAGGCCGCCCAGCCTGCCACCAGCCAGCTCCCCAGGAGCCAACCCAGGATGCAGGGCAGGGCTTGCATCTGGCTGGACCCCCGAGTCCAGATCACCACTACCCCTCCCCCTTGGCCTTAGCTTCTGCTTCGGCTTCCCTTGCAGTGAGGATGCGATGGAGTATTCCAAGGAGTTCGTGACTGCTGTGGTTCTGGGCAAAGACCTCGTTCCCAGGTGAGTTCTTCCCCATGCTGCATGGTCCCTTGCCAGGCTGTTTCTCCCTCCTCCAGGCCTCTCCCCGGCCCCCACATCCGTCTCACTCCGATTCCCATCTTTCAAGGGACTCCACGCCCCTTCCCACCCTTAGTTGCCCTGTCAGTGGAGAGAAGCCCAGGTGAACACACGTGCCGGCGCCCGCCCTGCCTGTGCTCCTGCTCCTCGACTCTGCCCTGGGGAGCTGCTCTGTGGACTCCTCTCCACCCCATGACCCTGCAGACTTGTCTTCTTGTTCCCGGGGCTGGGATGTGTCTGACCCTCTGCTCCTTGCCCCGTACCTCTCATAGCCCTGACCAGGCCTGGCTGACGGCCCTGTCTCACTCCCTCCCCAGGATCGGCCTCTCCCAGCTGGAAGGCTTCCGCAGACAGCTCCTGGATGTCCTGCAGCGAAGCACCAAGCCCAAAGTGAGCCCCCACCTGGGCACCCTGCCTCTGTGCAGCCTCGCCCGTCCCTGCCCTTGTCCCCCACTGGTTTCTTGGGCAAAGTACAAGAGGCCCTGCCATGGGAGGCCAGGGCAGCATGTGGCTGCTGTCATGGGAACTTGAGACTGTCAGACCCTCAGCATCCCCAAGCTCAAGCCATCCAACCCCTGTCATTGTGCAGATGGGGGAACTGAGACCCAGAGTGGAAGGGATTTGCATTTGCTCACAGAGCAAGTTAGAACAGAATCAGGACGGGAACCAAGGGGCTCCCGTCACACTGACCTGGGAGCTGCCCACAGTCAGAACGATGCGGAAACTGAGCGGTGAGGAAGGGCCTCTGCCAACGCCGCCGAGATTCCCCAGGCTCAGGGAGGGCTGGGAATGAGCTGTGGAGAGGATTTGGGTACAGTTTGTTCTGATTTTCTGCTGTGGCCAAGAGGAGAGGGTCAGCCCTTCCTAATCCGCATCAGGTCTCTGGAGGACATGGCGGGTGGGTTGGCCGGGTGGGTTGGCCAGGTGGGGGTGGGCGCGCGGTGGCCAGACATGCCGAGGCAGGCCGGGGCACAGGAGGAGGAGCGGGTCCACTGGGTAGTCACCCGTCCTCACCCCCCGCCCCCTGCTCTGGGTGGGCCCTCAGCCCATTCACTGTCTTAGCCCCGTCTGGACCGTTCCCAGCTTTGGTGCCCTAGACTCTATGCAGGCAGGGCCCTGGGCCAGGTACCAGGTGCCAGGCGGTGAGCAGGGCAGCAAAGCTTTGTGGGGCCGTGTCTGCCTGGAGGAGCCTGGTTCCGGGGAGGTGGAACGGCTCCCACCAGATTAATTCTGGGCCTTCGTCAGGCCAGGCCTGGCAGGTCCAGCAGGACTCAGCTGTAGGGTCTGTTTGGCCTCAGACTTGCGGAGTGACCCAGAATAAGTCCCTTCCCCTCACTGGGCCTGTCTCCCCATCTACCAGATGAGGGGTTGGCTGGGCTTCCAGCCCCTTGGCAGCCCTGAAATTCAACAATTCCATGTCATCTGTACTTGGCACCTTATTGGCCGTCTGGCCACCGTGCACCTCAGCCACTGCCTCTTCAGGTGGGCACCGACGTCTAACGCTCCGGCCACTGCCCTTCCCCTGCCCTTTGCCATCTCGCCCCCCACCTCTCACCTCCTGAGCCCCCCTTCTCAGCACCCTGCCCCTGCCCCCCAGCCAGTGCCACTTAGCCCTGCTCCATCTCCCCCGTTCCACCCCACACAGTGGCGGATCATCGTGGGGGCCACCAAATGCATCCCCAAGTCAGAGCTGCCTGAGGAGGTAGAGGTGACCACCCTGGCCAGCACGCGGCTCTGGACCCACCCCAGTGACCTGACTATCGCCCTCTCGGCCAGCACCCCACTCTACCCGCCCGGCCGCATCATCCACGTGGTCCACAGCCACCCTGCAGAGCAGTGCTGGTAGGTTCTGCCAGGGTCTGCTGCTGCAGAGGGCCGTGGCGGGGGCGGGGCAGTGGAGGGCAGGGCCAGCCTTGGCTCAGTTGCCCCTCGGGGCTGGGGGTGGAGGCTCGAAGAAGATGGTCCAGGGCCCCATGGAGGCCTTCCTCAGCCTCAGGCCCTGGAAATGGAACAAAAGGCCAGCCCTGAGCAGGACTCCAGGTTTCTCTCTCCATAGTCCAGCTTCACCTCCGGTGTCAGCCTTCCCTGGTGTCCCCCACGGCAGCTCTCCCGCTCCTGGTCCATTTAAAAGTGGGTACCCTGGAGGGCTCACCCCTCAGGCCCTGGCCGGCTCACACCTCAGTTGTCAGTTGTCACTTGGCTTTACCAGGGGGATTCCTGGGAGACAGCTGTGAGCCAGGTGGGGGCCGAGGCAGGAGCAGAACAGGAGAGGCACGAGGGCAGACCTTTCCCACTCTACGTGCCTCCAGACGCAGGGCCTGGCTCCTCCCTCCAGGGTTGGCTGCCTCCCCTGACACAAGCTGGCGAGCTGGGCCCTGCCCTAGGTGGAGCCAGCGTGGCCCAGGCCAAAAGCAGGTTGAAGGCTGCGGAGGGACTGTGGCTGAGGCTCAAGGTCAGCCTTTCCCAGGCTGAGGGCAGGACAGGAGCCAGGCCGGGAACACAGCCCTGCTGCCAGGAGGCCCTAGCACCAAGGACCAGGCCACCACCTCACCCTCAGCTCCCCTCTCTCCATGTCCCTCTCAGCTGCTGTGAGCAGGAGGAGCCCACGTACTTTGCCATCTGGGGCGACAACAAGGCCTTCAATGAGGTGATCATCTCACCAGCCATGCTGCACGAGCACCTGCCGTATGTGGTCATGGAGGGGCTCAACAAGGTGAGGCAGCTTGTGGCAGGACTGCTCCGGGGAGCAAGGCCTGGCGCCCAGCAGAGCCCCGCAGGCGCCTTGCAGTTCGGAGCACTGCCCCGTTTTATAAGCAAGGGTGCTGGGGCTCAGAGAAGTTAGGTGGCTGGGCCAGAAAGCCCCACTCAGACACTTCACCCCCATGCCCCTGGCTCTTTCCACATCACCACGTTGCCCCATGGTGGGGAGGAAATAAGGAGACTCCCAGGGGCCTGTCTCTGAGGCGGGCTAAGCTCAGAGGCCCTGAAGGGCACCTGCCAGACGCATGGGCAAGCAGTGACAGCCACAGCCATCCCCTGGCTGCAGAAAGGCTGAAGGCAGCCAGGGCAAGAGCAGGAGCCAGGCTGTGGGGCGCATCGTGACCAGATGGGCAAGTCTCAGGCCTTGGGGAGCGGTGACCTCAGGAAGAGGAGAGTGGGACCCAAGTGACTCCATGAGGCTCTGCTTGGCCTGCAAGGCCTGGGCCCTGGCTCCACATTGGCCCCAGGGTGGGGTCTGCCATCCCTCCCCTCCCTATCCGCAGCCTCCCCATCCTGTCCTCAGGTGCTGGAGAACTATAACAAGGGGAAGACTGCTCTGCTGTCTGCTGCCAAGGTCATGGTGAGCCCTACCGAGGTGGACCTGACTCCTGAGCTCATCTTCCAGCAGCAGCCACTCCCCACGGGGCCGCCCATGCCCACTGGCCTCGCCCTGGAGCTGCCGGCTGCAGACCACCGCAACAGCAACGTCAGGTGAGCTTGGCTACTCCCAGGCCCCTCCAGGGTGAGTGTGGTTCAGAGCACGCAAACTTGTATGCACGTGCGTTTTGTGCACGCACCAGGCTCATCTCTGCACATGTGCATAGGAGGGATCAAACACACCCTCTGTGCTCCAGAGCTCTCTCGGTGTGCCCCAGCTGTCCCCCAGCCTCCTGTCCCTGAAGCCCATCATGAGCTAGGGGACATTTAGGTACACAGACCCACAAACCCTGGGCCACAAAAGCACAGATTCACTCTTACACGCTTAGACCCAAACAGATGAGCACCTGTTTACTTACATATTTGTATCTAAGCTTACACATATGCATGTGCACACAATTGTTAGTTATAAGTATACAGATCACCCCCTACAGACATGCACATGTATAAGACACACACCAAGACAAAAGTGTAGACACAGGTATACAAGGACACACGTGGGCAGGCAGCCACACATGTCAATGCATGAATACACCTGTGCTTAGACCCAGGCACACGGGTGTAGGGACATACATAGGCCAGCTGACATACACAGACATGGCCTACACACTCATACACATGAACAGAGATGCACACACACGCTCACAGATGCACACACACGCTCACAGGTGGGTGCATGTGCAGGCCATAGCACTGTACCCATTCACATACTCTTTGAAGGGTGCGAGGCTCTTAAGTGGTAGTCCTTCCAGGGGAGGATTGTCCTGCCTTTCTAGGACCTTCCCACCCAGGCCTGTGCCCTTGGTCACAGATCCGGCCAAGAGGCTGCTTCTTGGCCCTTGGTAGGGACACCTGGACATCTCTCCCTGCCATTTGTGCCTTTCCTGTGGCGGCTGCCCAACCAGATGAGGGAGCCAGTGTCCATTTCCGGCTGCAGTGACTGCTGCGAGCCACCCGCTCCCTACCGTGTCACTCACCCCCCTGCAGGGTGGTCTGCGGAGCCAGGGGCTCCAGGGTTCCCCGTCCAGCAGAGGGCCGCAGCCCATGGGAGAGGCAGGAGGAGACCCGAATGAGGAAGGAAGTGATGATATCTCTGGGAGCGGCACCCAGGGGTGCTCTCTCTGAGATTGGGGTGGAACCAATAGGGCAGCTCCTGGCAGGGCCCTCTCCCTTCCCTGTCTCCCTGCTGCCCCCTGTCCCTCTCTCCCTCCCTCTTCTCTCCCATTCCACTGTGGCCCATGAGTGAGCCTCATTCTCGAATCGGTGCAGTGATGGGGGTTCTGGTGCAGGGAACCCCAGTGGCACTCCTGAAGCCCCAGTGCTGCCTGCAGGGCCTTAGACCCTCAGGCACCCCACCCTGGCTCAAGCTGCAGCTTGTTTGTCTTCTACCTTGGGTTCTTGTGAGTTGTTTTTTAAAAAATAAGCATTCCCAGCCAGGCGTGGTGGCTCATGCTTGTAATCCCCACACTTTGGGAGGCTGAGACGGGTGGATCACCTGAGGTCAGGAGTTCAAGACCAGCCTGACCAACATGGTGAAATCCCCTCTCTACTAAAAATACAAATAATAGCCAGGAGAATTGCTTCACTGGGGGAGGTGGAGGTTGCAGTGAGCCAAGATAGTGCATTTGCTCTCCAGCTTGGGTGACAGAGCAAGACTCCGTCTCAAAAATAAAATAAAAACAAAAATAAATAAACATTCCTAGCTGTATACGGTGGCTCATGCCTGCACTCCCAGCACTCTGGGAGGCTGAAGCGGGTGGATCACTTGAGGCAGAGGGTGCAGTGAGCCACGATCGAACCTCTGCCCTCTAGCCCGGGTGACAGAGCAAGACTCCATCTCAAAAATAAAAATAAGAAATAAGCATTCCCTGGCCCAAACCATTCAACAACTGCTAAATGAACTGTATCCCTCATTCCCTGCAAGCTCATTTTAGCTAGGGAGCTGGGTGGGGTTCAGTGCCCTCTCGCTTCAGAGTCTCACACCCCTGCTCTCCTCTCCCTCTGCAGGAGCAAGTCCCAGTCTGAGATGAGCCTGGAGGGCTTCTCGGAGGGGCGACTGCTGTCTCCCGTGGCTGCGGCGGCGGCGGCTCGCCAGGACCCGGTGGAGCTGCTGCTGCTGTCCACCCAGGAGCGGCTGGCTGCAGAGCTGCAGGTCCGGCGGGCGCCGCTGGCCACCATGGAGAGCCTCTCGGACACGGAGTCCCTGTACAGCTTTGACTCGCGCCGCTCCTCGGGCTTCCGCAGCATCCGAGGCTCGCCCAGCCTCCACGCTGTGCTGGAGCGTGACGAGGGCCACCTCTTCTACATTGACCCGGCCATCCCCGAGGAAAACCCGTCCCTGAGCTCACGAACTGAGCTGCTGGCGGCTGATAGCCTGTCCAAGCACTCGCAGGACACGCAGCCCCTGGAAGCGGCCCTGGGCAGTGGAGGCGTCACTCCTGAGCGGCCCCCTAGTGCCGCGGCCAACGAGGAGGAAGAGGTGGGGGGCGGCAGTGGCAGGCCGGCCTCCCGAGGGGAGCTGGCGCTGCACAACGGGCGACTGGGGGACTCACCCAGCCCTCAGGTGCTGGAATTCGCCGAGTTCATCGACAGCCTCTTCAACCTGGACAGCAAGAGCAGCTCCTTCCAGGACCTCTACTGCATGGTGGTGCCCGAGAGCCCCACCAGCGACTATGCCGAGGGCCCCAAGTCCCCCAGCCAGCAAGAGATCCTGCTCCGTGCCCAGTTCGAGCCCAACCTGGTGCCCAAGCCCCCGAGGCTCTTTGCCGGCTCGGCCGACCCCTCCTCGGGCATCTCACTCTCACCCTCCTTCCCGCTCAGCTCCTCTGGTGAGCTCATGGACCTGACGCCCACGGGCCTCAGCAGCCAGGAATGCCTGGCAGCTGACAAGATCCGGACTTCTACCCCCACTGGCCATGGGGCCAGCCCCGCCAAGCAGGATGAGCTGGTCATCTCAGCACGCTAGCACCCCCGTCGCATGGCTAGCCGGGCCCGGGCAGGAGCAGGTGGCTCTGTGGGCAGCTCGCGGCTGCCCCCTGCCGGGCAGCTTTGAGAAAAGACCCCAAGGGGCAGTTTAGCCTCAGGCACAGGCATTGCTGCTGAGCTGGGGGTCCGCATCCCTACCTCAGCTTAGGACCCCCAGAGCCAAGGTGGCTCCACAGATGGGGAAAGACGGAGAAGGATGTGGAGCCAGGGCTGCCTGCTGGGTGGGCCACACTCAGCCTCTCAGCCTGACTGCCCTCCATGGGGGCGTTCTGGCACCCACTGTTCCAGGGCAGGCCACGGGCAAGCTGCCTCCATCACTGCCTGCTGGCTGCTGTCCCAGGGCCCAGGTGGAGAGCAGTGCCCCCAACACACATTCTCACATGTGGTCCAGGCCGGCCTCTGCCCTGGCCACCCCCCAGATCTGGTGCCTGCTGGCCAGCCCCCTGGGGTGCCCCTGCCGAGGTGGCCTGCAGTGCTGTATATGTTTACAGAAGCTGCTGGGCTGGGCTCAGGGTGTGTTCTGGGCTTGCAAGCCCCTCGCCTGATCATATGTTCAGTAGCCCTCCTCTAAGCAGGGCCCGAGGCAGCCAGGGGCCTGGAGAGGCCAGAGGAGGGTGGGGTCAGGGCCGCCCCTTCTCCACCTGGTGCCCCTCATGCTGCCTCCTCTGCCCATGGGTCCTAGTACCCAGGCCTGCCCTGCCTGCTGGCTACTTCCTGGCTTCCTGGCTTCCCTTCTACCCCCAAGGATCCTGGCCACTCGAAGGGTGGTGGGCACTGCTGTGACCACCCCAGCTGCAGAGTCACTGCCCTGGGAGGAAGGAAGGCACTGAGAGCCCCCTTCCTTGGGGGGCCCCACCTGACCCCTTTGGGTCAGCCCCACCATGCCTAAGCAGCTCTGGGCCTGGGATCTGGAACCGACAGCCCTGCCCCTCTCAGCCTTCCCTCCTCGCTGGCCTGGGCACCCTCCTGGGAAGCAGGCCTTTCTCCCTCCCACTCCCAATGTCCTGTTGGTAGGAGGTGGGGCCAAGATTGGGATATGGTGGGCCTTGGCTGGAGACCCCTGTCCACTGCCCAAGGAGGGGCCAGGGGCTGGGAGTGGTCCCAGTTTAGCCTGAGGTCCCCATAGAGGTTCCTCCCCTGCTGGGTTTGGGAAGCAGCTGGGGAGGTAGCCCCTGGTGTTTCCCCAGAAGAGGGGTAGGCGGGTGTGCATGCTAGTGTTGGCGCGTGTGCATGTGCATGAGTGTGCACCATTCCTGAGGAAGGGGCTGCTGGGGCTGCCCACCCTACCTGCCCTGCCTGCCTGCTGCCCCTCCTAGCCTGCCAAGAAAACGGTCAGAGAGCATGATGGGGCCTGGGAGGCAGGGCCGAGGGACAAGCTCAGCTTTAGACACCATCTGTTCCCATTGCGCCTACTGTTCTGACCCGTTTTGGAAAACTGGCGTGTACCAAGGCGCTGACCGCACGGCTGACCGCCTGCTCGTGCCTTCATTCTGCGGTGGCATGGTCCCTCCCACTCTAGCCCTGCCCGCAGCCTCCCTGGGTGGCCTCGGCTCCCCTGACCAAGAGCCCCCCATCTCACAATCACTGGTACCCAGGGGCCTGAAGCCTGGCCCCTGGCTCCCCACATAGCTGGGACTGGCCTGGATGGCTGTCCTGGGGATCCCTGCCCACCCTGACAGAGGGGACAGAGACCTGGGAGCTGGGCCTCCCCTTATCCTCTGTAACTCACACCTTCACCAGACTCAAGGACGTCCTGCCCCTGCTGAGGCATAGTTTCAGCCTAGCACAGAAGCAAGACAAAATCAGTGACCCTTAGAGCTTAGAAAACGACTCCATTAGAGGAAAGATCTGACAAGCACCCCGGCCAGTCACAGGAAGAGACTTGATGTCTGGCCTTTTAATTCCTCCTCTGCCAGGGTGGGTCCTGGGACTGCTAACATAGGCACATCACTCATCCCAGGACTGAGCCATCAGGGACAGACCCCCCCACCCCCAAGGCTGCAGCCACACCGTGTTGCAGGCTTGGGGCTGGGGCAGGCTTGGGCTCAGTCCTGGGCACCCAGGGGGCAGCCCACCCCTAACCTGCCCCCTACCCACCTTGCCCCTGAAGAATGGGCCTGCTGCACGTCTCCCTCCTCCACCCCATACCACACTGGGGGGTCTGAGCCACCCCCCTCAGCCCAGCGCGGCTCAGACTGACCCCCATTCCATCCCCAGACCTGCAGCACAAGTGCGAAGGCCTGTCCACCCAGGGCCCGGGTGACTCCATATGCAATCGGTAGTGAGCAGCCGGGCCTCGCAGACCCTCACGCACTCTCTACGTGCCATTCTCCCCAGACTTTTTTGTACTTAATGTATGAAAGATCCAAACTAATATTGCTGTAAAAAGGAGAGACAAATTAATATAGCTTATTCTATAAATATATCTGTATATAAAGGTTTCTGTATATTGTATAGAGCTGTGTATAAACTGGATGTAGAAGCACGCTGGCTGCCTTGACTGTCTGTCTGCATCAGGTGGGGACTGGGCAGAAACGGGATGCTGAGGTGGCAGCAGAGCAGGGGGTGGGTGTGGGGCGGGGAGCAGGGGGACCTCTGCCACTGTTCCCTGGATGAAACAGAAAGCCTCAGGGGGAAACGGCTTCCTTGGGAAGAGCCCGTTTTCACCCCCAAGACGCAAGGTGTGTTTGGGTGGTTCAGGTACAGCCCTTTGGCTGTGCTGGGTTAGAACACTGCTTCTCAAAGTTCACGGTGCTCATGACTCACTGGAGCGCTTGCTAAAATGCAGGTGTGAGTACAGTGGTCCGGGCTGGGGCCCAGAGTATAGATTTCTAACCTGCTCCTGCTCTGCCAGTGCCCTGCCCCAGGGCCACACTTTGAGTTGCAGGGAGGGAATAGAAGACCCTCGAAGCTCCTTGTGAATGGAGGCAGCCACTTGTGCTGTCCTGCCTGAGAGATGTGCCAGGGGAGCACGCTCATATTACGGGCTGGAAAGATACAGTTTACTAGCCACCCCTTCCTCCCAGGGGGTCTGAGGCTCAGAGGGGATGAGGTGCCCAAGACTGCCGAGCTGGCGATTAGGGGACCAGGCTGGTCTGACCATCGCCACCTCCCTCCCTCACAATGTGGACAGCCAGGGAAGGCAAGGATGAAGATCCCAGTGGGACAGCACTGAATTGCAGGAGCCACTAGAAGTCTTTGCTGAGGGCTTTCCTAAGAGGGCACAAAATACCTGCCCAGGCGCAGTGCAGCCCAGGGACCCCAGCCCAGCCTGGCTTGGCTGGAAGGCCCAGGCGGAGGAGCCTGCCCCCTCCAGACAGCAGGTGGCGCTGTTCCTCCAGCCAGTCCCACCTTGGCCGCTGAGTCCCGCCCAGGCACTGACCTAGCCAAACTGACCAACCTTTCCCTTTCCCCCACCCTGCCCCCATCTCTGGCCCCCAGTGCCATCTCTGGCCCCCAGTGCCAGTGACCCTACTTGGTGAGGGGCTGGGGAGGGTGATAGAAGAATACCCTCAGCCAGGTGCGATGGCTCACGCCTGTAATCCCAGCACTTTCGGAGGCTGAGGTGGGTGGATTACTTGAGGTCAGGAGTTCGAGGCCAGCCTGGCCAACATGGTGAAACCTGGTCTCTACTAAAAATACAAAAATTAGCGGGGCATGGTGGTGGGCACCTGCAACCCGGGAGTGAGGCAGGAGAATTAATTGCTTGAACCCAGGAGGCGGAGGTTGCAGTGAAACAAGATCACACCACTGCACTCCAGCCTGGGTGACAGAGCAAGACTCCACCTCAAAAAAAAAAAAAAAAAAGAAAAAGAAAAAAGAATACCCTCTGTCTTAGAGCCTGTCTTCACCCACAGCCGCTGAACAGAAGAGGAAATGGCCAAAAAAGGTGAAGACCTGCCCAAGGTTACATGGGAGGTGGGGACAGACTGGGGACCGGAATCAGGGCCTCCCAGCCTAGGACTCTGGCCTCCACCGCACCGGATGGTTTTCAGAGGTTCTTTGCCCTCAGTGGTCTCACTGGTCTGCAAATTATCCTGTCCAGTGAGTGCAGCGCAGGCGGAAGAAACTGAAGGCCAGGGAGGGTCTGTGGCATGCTTGTGGCCATGGCCAGGGTGTGGCATGGGGAGGGGCTTGAGAGGGAGGTGCTGGGAAAGCCTAGAGAGGCACTCTGCCTCTAGGTCCACTCAGTACCTGCAGCCGCCCCCTCCTGTCCCAGTGCCTCTGCAGTCAGGAGGGGAGTCTACCCTGTGGGCCCCCACACTCAGATGTGCCCTCAGGCCCTAGTCCAGGCAACCTGCACCCCCAGCCTCACTGGCTTGCTGGATTGACACACACCCCACTTTGAGCCCTCCTCTCTTCCTCTTCGAAATGGCCTCATGCCAGTGCTGTGGTGGGTCCATGGTAGGCCCAGAGCGTCTTGGGGTGGGGAGGCCAGGAGATTCCCAGGGTGGGGCGGGTAGGTGAGTCCCGGGGTGGGAGGGCAGGTGAGTCCCGGGGTGGGAGGGCAGGTGAGTCCTGAGGTGGGAGGACAGGGCTCTACCTTCTCCTGGGCTGGCCTCCATGCCCATTAGCCACGAACCTTCAGGTCCCAGCATCCCTCTCCCCAGCGCTGCCTTCTGTCTGTCACCTCCTCCTGGCCCTACTGCCACTCAAGGGCCAGTGATGGGTGCTGAGAGCTGACCAGAACTGGAGACGGCAGCATTTACCCAGCACTTTACCTCCACTGTGAGGCAGGGATACTGAGCGTGCTTTATAGATGAGGCATCTGAGGACAGAGGGCAGGCCTTGGGGAACAAGCAGAGCTGGCCACAGGGGACAGCCTTGTCGTCTGAAGTAGGGCTGAAATCTCAGCCCCTCACTCACTGTGGCTCAGTAGGGAAGGCGGGGCACAGATGGGGACTCATCTCCATTGATGGGACCCCCTCGCTCCTGATGTGCCAGTCCCCTGGGGCCCTTGCACCAACCTAGCCACCTTCT